ACAGGTAGGCTAATTGTAAAACAGACAGACAAAACCTGGAGATCGTGGAGTATAAAGTCATATATATACATGGAGTATAAAGTCATAAACACCAGAATTTCTGCTAAAATTTAGCAGCCAACTAGGAACACCTTATATTTCTAGCTAAGCACAATCATCCCTTGCTAATGGGATGCAGGGCTGAAAAACCAAAGTTTGATGCCAAGAGGTATGAATTATTGTTATTGTGCTAGTACTAAGAGTCTTATGGGGATCTTGCAGGGATAGTCTAAGGAATTGTTTTTTGTTTTGTTTTGTTTTTTAACAAAGACAAATTCAGGCTCGAGAGGTACTGAGGGTGTTTTGGTGGAGGCAAGGAGACAGATACACAGGGACTAGCATTTAAGTTTAGGCTGCACTTGCACAGGCAGCATGAGTGAATTGTAAGGTAGGATGCAGAATTTGAGGCAGATGTAGGCAACCAGACATGCTCCTGCCTTGAAATGTGCGCAGAATCTGTTCTCATGCTTCAGTGAACAAGCACAGAGCCTTCCAACAACCCCTGTACTGCCTTCCCCCAGCATACTTCTGCTGCTCATAATTAAAGGCAAACCTGAGAGGGGAGACAGGCCTGCAGGAACAACTCCCTCAGAAGCTGCCTTAGCAAAATGTGGAAAACTAATGTGGATCTTCCTTGCCAGATTGGACGAGACATAGCCATCTCCTTCCAACTAATGAAACACGTCTTTTTGTTCCCATTTCTCAGCTGGGGCTCCTATCCTATTGTTTTGATATTTGATCCCATTTTTCCCCATCTGCTCATATATTCTCTCTTCCCTCACCCCAACCCATTCTCTCTGCAAGTTGCCTATGTGTCTCTGAGGGAGGAGATGAACTACAAAAGGGAATGTCTCACATCAGGCTCCACTGCTGCAACATGGGCATTAAGGAGCTCTTTTGCAACAAAGCGTCATCAATAATTCAGCAACATGGGAAGAGTGCAAAGCCCATGGCTGTGTTGGAGCCAGGCAATCATTTGGGAATCTAAAAGATGCCAGGAACTAAGTATTCCTATGTTGAAGCTTTGGGAATATAACACAGCAAAGAAAGCAGAGTTTCCAGGGATTGTGGACTTCCGCACTACCTCCTCTATGTTGACTGACAAGCTATGTACAGAAAAACATCTCTCTAGAAAGACTGATGAAAGGAAGAGGAAAAAACGTAGAGTGTCTCCATCGATCCCAGCGCAATGGAGTCTGTGGTGCACAGGCTTAGCCTCTCAGCAGAGAGCCCAACACACCCCCACTTCCTCTGCCCACCCTTCACTGCCACCCACAGGGGCAGCTGCCAGCCAGGGACAGCCTGGGGTGGTTTGGCCCCAGATAACAAGTGCTTGGCTCTGAGGCTGTAGGAAACACTCATCTATGGGCTCCATTCCTTCAACTCCTACAGGTTTCCTGGAACCACTCTGAGACTCTGATGCCACCACAGCTGCTCAGAGCATATTTTTTTTATCCAAACTGATTTGAACTTCAAACAGTGCTAAAGTCTACGGGGACAAGATTTGTTTGGCCACCTTCTCAGATGCATCAAGTTGTGCTATTGTCACTGATGCAAGCAAAAAGGTGGGAATACAGTTTTACTTTTCACTCAGACTAAAGATTAACTGCATGGTACTGACAGATGTAGGCTACTGCTCAATGTCTTGACTAATAGTCTGAAAAAGAGTGGAATAGGGCAAGTTTACAAGTGACACAATGTTACCTGACAGTCAAAACAGAGCTCTGAGACAAGGTTGTGGAAAACCTTCATGCAGACCTAACAAATGCTGGTTGAATGGACAACAGGAAAGAGAAGAAATGCCATGTTATCAAGTATAGTCTAGGACAAAATTATTTAAGTATTGATGTGGTCAGCAAAATAAGAACATTTGCACAGTATTCAGTGTCAATTTATAAAGCTGGCAGATTATCAGGAAGAATTGTACTGAGAAAAGTCCTGAAAGCATTAAACCACTCTTTAAATCAAGTCTCACCTTGCAAGCAGTGTCCACTACCAAGTCTCCCATTGCAGAGATATATGAGAAAATAAAGAGTCTACAGAGGTATAACTGAAGAATTTCAAAAGTAAGGACAGACTAAATGTACTAAATGGTACAAATCCTACAGTTGGCTTACAATAAAAAAACTTCAAGGAATTAATTAAATACAAAAGACACACATTCAAAACAGGCAGCATTTTTCTCTGATTTGCACCAGACAAAAATCAGGCCTTATCCTTTTAAAGTGAATCAAAAGGAGCTTGTGCTCTGTGAAAGCAAACACTAAATGACTCTTGATGACAATCACCCTACTTATCACGCTCTGCAACTACTGTTCCTTCAAACAAATTAAATGGCTGTGTGACAAGAGTAACAATAAAACAATTGCATCAGAAATATGAAATATTCCTCTCCACCTGAAAAAAATGTATGACTTTGAATGAAAGTACATAAGTATGACGCAAAAGGGGAAGATGTAGAAAATTCAGTCCCCTAACAAAAGCCACTTTATACAGTATGAAATTGAGCCCTTCATACAGGCTTGATGATCATTTATGTGCTTTCTGAGTGAACATAACCTGCTCATAATTAATATGTAATGTTTGTATTAATCCATTAGGGGTAATCTTCAGCCATTATGAATATTCATCAAATTGTTCTCACATTTGTAGACTTTGGCTTATGTTCAGCCTATTTCATTTTATTTAGTTGCTTAAGGACCTGGAAACAGACACTTTCAGAATCTCAGTGAGATGAGAAGACTCATTCCCTGGAAATATTTTTCACAGGCTACACAGAGATGCTGGGGCTACTATGGTCCAGTAACTTGGAACTACATCTACTGGAGAGAAATCCAAGTCTGTCTTTTTGTGGAGCATCCTAACAAAGTGTTGGAAAACAGATCTGACATTTCCAGGATACACACTTCTCTTTATGTGTAAGAGAGACCTTATTTCAGCCCTTCAGTATATACAGGGGACTTACAAGAAAGATGGAGAAGGACTTTTTACCAGGGCCTGAGCAACAGGACAAGAGTTTTAAAATGAGAGTTTAGATCAGACATAAGAAAGAAATTTTTTACAATGAGGGTATTGAAGCATTGGTATGCATTGTCCAGAGAAGTTGTGGATGCCCCATCCATAGAAGTGCTGAAGGACAAGTTGGATGGGGCTTTAAATAACCCAGGTCTAGTGAAAGATATCTCTGCCCATGGCATGAAGGTACTTTCATTCATACTGTAGAAATATGGTGTTTTTTTTCCATTAGAAAAGTTTTGCAACCTTCTTCTTCAGGGTAAGAATTCCTGAAGAGTTTGACAGAGCAGGATGTTTGTTTCCTACGTAGCTGTGATGACAGTAGCATGGGTACAATAAAGCAAGCTGGTCAACCAGTAGTCCTCCAATATCACACCCAGGAAAGTAAGATATCATCCCTCCTGGAAAACATTTGAATGAAATAGCTAACAAAGGTGATAATCTGTGACAATAGAAAAAAACTCAAAAACCTATGAAATATTTGATACATTTAATATAACATTTTATGTTATATTTCCCCTCATATTTCCAAAACTTTCACCTTCATTATCTTATTATTTTAATGGTCCATGCATAGCTTTTAAGCTCAGGTAAAGATGTACAGAAACATTGTATTTAAAAAGGAAATAAGGCCAATTCAAAGAAATGCCTCTACTTAAGAAGGGGAGCAATGCTAACTACATAACATCTGAACATTCAAATACACTTTACTGAAGGTTACACAAACAACAATAATTTGAGGAACGCAATAAAGAAGAAGACTGAAATAAATATTGGCATTTACTTGCAGCTGTTCTGTGTGTTCTATCTGGAAGTCTCCAGTGTTCAAACACATGGAAATTAGATGTGAAAACTCCTCCCAGCATCAATGTTTAACACTGTGAACATCTAGCACCTTCAGACTAAACTCCCCATGTGTTCATCCATGGTTCAGGACCACATCTGAATCTTCCTGTTCAGAAGTTTATCTCCTGCTGCAGAAACAGCTTTATCTGCCAACATCAACAAGTTACCATGCTCTCTATGTTGTAAGCATAGCTCTTCACCTCAAGAGAAACCTCTGCTCTCGCATATGCAGTGGAACATGAAAATAGGGAAAGGGAGGTTGCATCTCTCATTTGGTTTTTCTGGAAGGCAAAACCTCCCACTGGTAAGCTCAACCCACCAAAGCAGGAGGCAACCCCACACTTAGCTGTTCTTTCCCTCGTCTGAAGCTTTTTTCCTTGCTTGTAGCTCCATGGGCACTCACCCTGTATAACTGAAACTTCCTACAGCATTAATGCAAGTAATTAAGTGATATAATTTGCATTACCATAGGCCATCATTAAACAGCTTGCCTATAATGATGGCAGACAAGTGCAACAGTGATAACGTATTTCAGTAAAGCAAAGATGCAGTATGTTAACTGCCAAAATTAATTCACTTACTGAAGATGTATGAATAGTACCCTGTTCTTGGCTTGTCAAAGGGCATTTCAGCCTAAAATATGTATATTATATGCATATGCTATGCCCTTCCTTCACTGAAGAATTATTTTATTCTACAGATAAATCACTATTAATAGTGTACCAGATATATAATCACAAGTAGTGAGACATTTAATATGTATTTTTCATAGTCCTCAGACTTCTGATTTTTGTACATGAAAGACAGTGCTGAGTGCTAGTTAAACTCATAACCAAGAACCTTGCATTAGAAATTATATGGAAAAATTCAATACATACACATCCTATTGCCACACTGAGCTGATGGAAGAGCATGAATTCTTCAAATCCAAAATATCTCACCTTTGAACAAATTTCTGAGGGCTACCACACAATTAATTTCAGTCTGTATAATTCAGATGAGAAAGGATAGTTATGTTACATCTTCCCACAGGTATCTTTCCTTAACCACTTGACTGCCTTCTTTCCATCTCTATCTTTTTTTCTTCTCCCTTTCCTTACTTTATTCTTACGGCTGCTCTACTCTGAGAATAGTCTGATAATCATAGTTTGTTGTTATTGCTCCCCTAACATGCACTGTATTTCAGAATAGAAGTGTCTTTCTTAATAGAATGGAGTTTTCATGTAAGGAATTACCCCAGTTTACTTATAGTTTACAGGTAAAATTATTCACAATTCCTTTACCAGTCAGTTTACCTGTTTAGATGAACACTTTGCCTTCAGGCATCCATCAGTCATAATATTATATTATACAGAACAAAAAACTACATTTAGATTATACAGAGAAACTACACTAGTACTTTCAGATCAAATGCTTGTCTATTTTTCAAACTGTTAATTGATACAGTAAGAGATATTACCTCCCTGCACCTGCTTTGCCTGCTGGCATCCCTAGCCCATCACAAAACTAACAGGAATGGCCTGCAGTGACCTGCCTGCAGTGACCTCCCTGCAGGACCCAAGGCTTTCTCAAATCATGATCCCAACTACAATTCCAATGCCCCCTCTCCTGTCTCCACTGTGTCACTTGGCTGACTGATGTCCTTTCCCCCATTTGAATAACATGCTCTTATGGCAGTTGCAGGGGAAAGAGAAGAAGAGAGAGAAAAAAACCAAGAAGTGCAGAGGTCAAACACAGACAGAGCTCTCTCTGAATTCACTAAATCTTTATGAAACCCGAAGCCTTTCCAAGTACCAGTGCATCTTTATGCATTTTGGTCTTATACCTTAGTGTCCCTTTCCCTTCCAATACTTCTCACTCCCTAAAAGGCACACTAAACATGTGCAGTGTTTGTGCTCTCTGACCTCTCCTTATCATTTTTGCCTTGCACATCCACCCCCACTGCCTGCTTTCTCATTTGTCATGACCACTGGCAACATGGCAGAAGAACCAAACATCTATACAAATCTATTGCAATACTGATGTTTTCTGAAACCAGCAATCTCATAGCACAATAAACTGTTAATGGATGAGCAATTTTAATCGTCCACTCCCATAAATTGGGTAATTTTTCTTAGATAAAAGCACAACGTATAATTAGAAAAGGGAACTAGTTACTTGTAATGAAAGAATAATCAAATTGCCATTAAAATGACATGAGCTACATTTGTCTTAATTCTAGGGGCCCTCCTGTTGCTTCCAGACAGGAGAAAAAAAGTTACTTGACAATCTGAGTGACTTTTTCCAGTTGTATTTATTCATGCAAAAAGGCGACCTTTTATCAACTTCTAGCAAAGCAAGTTGAATGTAACTGAACAAAAGCCATTATCAGGCTATTTGCTTAATTTTCACACAAAAAAATGACACACCTCAACTTTGAGGGACACCATGAACTCCAGCTGGCTCCTGTCTTCCCACTTGTAAGACAGAGCCAGTGAAAGTAAAAGAGAAGCCCACAGAAATCTGCAAAAGCTTTATGTCCAGCTGTGCAGGGTATTTCTGGAGAGGTGTCCCATATGGGACTCCACCACATGTGTCTCCTGACAGTAGCAGCACAGTGAGATCCCAGGGCTTTGGATCTACTTCACAAGAGAGTCACTGGACCTGGTTAGGACCAAAACAGACAAACCTGCACTTTAATGCCAACAGCACAAAAAAGGGAATGGTTCTGTTCAGCCAGCATCCTCCTTCCCTCCCTCACAGGCCCATCAGGATGAAAGGAAAGCTCTCTGAAGTAGGGAGATGGCTCACCCAGGTAACACAGGCTTGACTCTGTTCCCCAGAGCCTATTGCACTCTCCATGCCACAGAAGGAAAGAATACAGAGAAACCCGGTCATGTTCAACAAGGTTATAGATACTGCACCTCCCAAAAAGAGGCATGGTATCTAATAGCAGTTACTGAAATGGTAGGGGGGAAGAGAGTGTCAGACAAAGGCTGAGACACTCCTATCAACCATGATCAGTAGCAGCCTCAGCACATCAGACTACAGCAGCATTTACCTTGCAGCAGATATCAATATTAATCAATACCATCCTTAACAAGTAATGACCAAACTGCTCCCAGCATGGAGATACACTTATCCTGAAGCCACTTAAACCAGAAAAATGGCACTCGGCAGCAAAACTGAGGTTCATTACCACCCTCCCACACTGACAGTCGTCATCCTAACCCAAGTACTCCTTGATTCCTCTTCTCCCAGCAGAAGAAAACTGTTTGCATAAAACAGCACCCAGCATTAGCTCCACATTCATCAGCACCTTCAGAGGCTTGTTCTCTAGAGCAATTAGTTTACACCAGCAATGTGCAAGCCATGCAAGTATTTTCAAAAATTTAAGAAGTCCTGTGGCCTCCTCACAGCACAGTACAGACAGAATATGGAATGAGGCTAATGTTTAAAGAGCTTGATCCCACTGACTCACATTTATTTGTCATTTAACTGAACTCTGATGATGCTTTAGCCTCTTACATGAGTGACTTTCTATTTTTAAGAGCACTCATGCTACCCTCTAGCACTTTTTAGATATGAGAAAAAAAATACAAGGATAACAAGACATCTTATCCTTTCATTCCTAAGTCCCCCAACCAAGTTCAAGATAAACAAATCTAAGTAAATTTAAGTTTTATCTAGAAGAGTCATGACCACTGGTTCAGTTGCTCTCCAAAGGCTTAAATACACATCAGTCTATATGAACACACTTAAAATGTTTTTCATGTTTTAGCTAGAATGGTTTAGCTGTTTCTCACAGAGAAAATCAGAGGGAATTCCAGTTTTGTCCAGGATGACACACTTTATTACAATTTGATTATCAAAGAATTCCAACACCTGCAACCGAGTGGCACCTTTAAATTCTTCAAGAAGTTGGGCAAATTGAAGTTAAATCTTACACTGGTTTCATGGAAAACTAACCAAACATGGAAAACATAAACAAAAAACTCAATTTTAATACCCTCAGATGACATTTTAAAATTTACCTGCAGAATTTCCTTAAGACTCCATCTCTCATAAAAGACTACTAAATGTCTAGGCCTCCTAAGCAAGTCTTCTTCTGTCCCCCAAAGTTTTAGTAAAAGTTGGAACAAAGGAAGAGCAGAGGGTACAGATATAGAAAGAACGACAGCAGGAGAACAAGTCTACAGACAGGAGCTGTGCAGAAGCCAGGAATCAGAAGGGGATGAGATGGGATGTAAATTAGGGGGCTGATAATAAGGAGAAGATTACAGGAAGAGTATGGGAGCAGAAGAGACCTTAACCACCAGAACACAGGGCCTTAATAAACATAAAATATGTTCTCTTGACATTAAGTGAACAGACACGAGACTAGTTGTAAAGAATCTCCATCCCACTCAAGACAGGACATAAAATGAGTAAGTTTTTCTACTGTTAGTCATGACAGGACTGTTTTGGATAGTTCAGGAGCATGCTGCATATCCAAAAGGCTCACTCACACTGTTGTTCAGTGGTAGTCTAGGTAAATCCCGTGACAGAAGTCTGCTTTTGGGGGTTCTTTGTTTGCGTGTTTAGCTTCATTCACAGTGCTATATGTTTGCTTTTTGAGATGCCACTTTGACCTGTCGTGTACCTGTTGTACAGACAGCAGGAAGGAAGTTCCTGACTGTACCATCTCAGCCTCCTTTGCTGCAGAGATGGAAAGCATTTGATGGAGGGGGTTGGTTCTGCTGAGAAAAAGCAAGAAAAGTCTTATAGCAAATAACAGAGGCTCCAGAAAACTGTCTTCTAACTCTGTTGTAAAGTTCACATGTAAGTCTGAGGAATTTGCATTATATATATTCTTTATTTTTCTCCCACACCCCAGTTGAGTAATTTGTGGTGTGAGCTGCTAAGATGCTGAATGTGAGTAGGTGCATCTGAAGTCAGTGGGAGGTGGACTTTCTCTACATGCAAAGTAGCATAAAGTATTTACCACCCTGGAAATGAAAGTCTTTGATACGGTATTTACCACTTGGGAAATTAAGCTTTGATTTCTTCACATAGGCAACCAGAAGTGTTGATATTTTTATTTCCTGCACCCAAGACAGAATAAGGCCAACCATTTCACAGCAGTGACAAGGGTAAAGTCCTTAATGGTCAGTAAGATTATAGCACTCCTGAAATGCTCTACAGGAAATTAGGTTTTTTAATTCAATAAAGGATAATGTTATGCAGTAAACTGTACATTAAAGTACACATGGACTAAGCATGTGTAAGAATATGTAATAAGCAATAAAAGAAACACAGATTTGGAAAGCTTCTGGAGCTTACTCTCCTGCTATCCCAGGCAACTGCTTATGTGCAATCACATAAGCACTTTTATAAACTCATCAGACTCTGCTTTCTAAGCGAATGGGCTTCCTGCCCTCAGCACAGGGAAACTGTCTCATGGCCTCATTGCTCTGAAAATTCCAAATCTTCTAAGTCACAGTCTAAATTAATTTCGGACCATTTTACACACATTTGTCTTCAATTTAAAAAACAATTCTACATCCATGCCATTTACTCTTCTTTTGAGAAAATATAAAATCTCCTCTTCATTTTTCTAATCTAAACACAACAAATTCTTCAAGTCCCTTCTCTGAAAAGCTCCCTAAAGGACAACATTCCTACTCAGCAATAGGATTCTTCTGGGGAAATAAGCTTATGGCTATATGATTAAAATCTACATTGCTGGGCAATCTTATGGCATGTTAGCCCACAAGACCCAAGCCTGAAAAGCAAGGAGCACAGAGGGGGTTTGAAGCCAGACACACACAGGCCACACAGCTGCTATGCACACATACATCAGACTCTGCATCACGCATGGAGTTCAGTCTGCATCCATCACACAAACTATGCACACAAAGTGCTCTGCTTAGCACTTCCCAACTCTTAACTTGGTTCTGTATTTCTTAATGCAGCCTCTCAATAGGTAGGAGAGAGACGGGAACTAAATGTTATGAAGGTAATTCTCAATATCTTCCCCTTTTCTGAGGTGAAGCAGTGAAGGAAGTAGCCTCAATTAGGTCAGCTATCTTTCCTCAAATAAAACCTGTGCCTTAAAGGTGGAATGGTTAGTTGATAGAGACATGGTGTTAATACAAAAGGTTTTGTTACACTATTGGTCAGCTTTGGTCTTTGCTTCATGTAAATGAAGATAATTATAAGGGACTAATGAAATTGCAAACATATCCTACTAACAAGAATAAATGGGCATCCTAAAACTATAGCAAGTTACCAAGAGGTAACTTCCGAGGGAGATCCAGAGTGGTTTCCGAGTTTCATTAAATTTGAAAAGGTGTTTATCATTAGTTCTATTTTTTTTTTTTTTAATAAATGAATGTTTCCCAAACTCAAATGACAAAGAAAAGTGTCTCGTTCACAGTATAGCTCAAATTTCCACATACATAGTCCTAGTACTGGTCCAAACACATACCAAAAGCTTTATGAGTTGAGACAGTAACATCCTGGGATTGATTCAGAGAATTCCTCATCCCATCTGGATGCTGAAATTCCTCAGTATGACTATATTTGGTGATGCTGAAAACAAAGGTGAGAAATGTCATCACTTGACAAACAGACCTGGTACTGCACAGACATTGGAGGACCTGACCTCGCCTGAGCCCTGATTCACCAGACGCATTTGACATATTTTGTACGGCAAGACCAACAACACAAACCCACCGTGTCCTTAGCACATCCTCTGAGGCTCAGTCAGCGTGAGTGCACACAAGTCATGCATCAACTCAGCCAACGTTCTGGACCTACATGTGGCCGTAGGTGCCTCACCTTTATCCAGACACGGGCGGGTAACACGCCACTATTGTATGCCATAGCACGGTCTGACCTCTAGAGAATTAAGGTGAAATCAAGAGGATGAAAACAAGCAAATATACTGATCGTTGCTTGTGGGAAATGCTGTCTTCAGCCGCGTGGGGCTCCGGGAACACGGACTCGGGATCACGAAGCCCCGCAGTGCCTGTCCTGGGCCCCGCCGGCCCGCGGCACCCGGCGGCGGCAGCGCTCGGACTTGGCCCGGCCCGCTCCGGACGGACGGACCGCACGGTCGCTCCCGAGGGAGCGCACGGCCGGGCAGGGCCGGGCTCGCCGCCGCTCCTGCGGGAGCTGCCGCCGCCGGCGCTGCGGGGAGCAGCGGCCCGAGGGCGCGGCCGCCCGCGGGCGGAACAACAGCCGCCGTGGCGCGGCCGCGGGCACCGCCTCGCCCCCCCGCTCCCGCCCCGCCGCCGGCAGGGGCACCGCCCCGGCCGGGCCCTCCCGCAGGGAGCCCCGGGCCCCTCCCGCCGCCTCCCCCATCTCGGTCCCTTCCTTTTCCCGGTCCAGGGTGCCGGGCGGGGGGAGCGGGGGGGGGGGGGGGGGGTAGCGGCGTCACCATGGCGACAGTGACGTCACCCCACCCTGGATCTCATTGGAGGAAACCCCGTGGCCCCAGCCGCAGCCCACGGGCCCAGCCGAGCTCGCGCCCTGCCCGCGCTCGCCCCCGCGGCGGCGCGCTCCTCTCCGATTGGTCGGCGGCGCGCGGGGGGGCGGGGCCGGGCGCGCAGGCCGGGTCGTGATTGGCCGCGTGGGCGCGGGCCGCGCAGCGGGTCGGTGCGCGCGCCAACGCCCTTCAGCGCTGGCTCGGCCGAGACGGGAGCGGCTCTTTCTCTCCGCCACAGCCCCGAGCGCGGCACCGACCGGGTGCGGCCCGGCCCCACAGCCCGGCGGACCCAGGTGAGCGCGGGGCCGCGGCCGGCGTCGGGATGGGCCCCGCTCCACTGCTTCCTCCCGCCGCGTCCTCCATTTTGTGATCGCGGCGTGGAGAACTCGGCGGCCCCGGGGAGCGGGAGGTGCATCCAGCGCCGCCATTTCGCACCCGCCGCCGCTTCCTCTTCCCGCCCCATCGCTGCGGGGACTCCGCCAGCCGCCCCCGCGCCCCCCGCCGGCCCAGGAGATGCGGCTGCTGAACCCGAGACCGCACCCGCTGCCGTGTACCGGGAGCCGCCGCGCTCCCCGCCGGCAGCGCGGGGCCCCCGCCGCGCCGGGGTCCGGATCGGCGGCCGCCGAGGCAGATGGGGAGGCCCGGGCCCACCGCGCCCCGCCGCGGGAAGGAGAAGCGCCCAGGGCCCCCTCGCCGGCCTCGCGGCCCCGGCCTCACTCGCCCCCAGGGAGGCGGGTCCTGGAGGGGTTTAACCCCTGCTGTGTTCTCCGGCGCCGAGCTCGTCTTGCTGCTTTTATTATGTATTTGTTCCCGCCAGTCCTGGCATTCATGCCCGCCTGCCTCCGGTGCTCGCCCGCAGGACTGGTAGCACAAGGAGGCAGGGATTTGGGCGAGGGCCCTAGGCGGGGTGGTAGCCAGGAATCATTCCACGAGTTAGAGGGCATATTAATATGCTCAGGTAGGGCACGAAGGAAAAGCGGGATGATGACTTTTTTCTGATGGAAAAACAGCTATTTCCACTGCTTGGGCGGCTGGCTGACGTCCCTTGTATAGCACCGACCGAGTGTGACTTCTCCGCCTGGGTTTCTAGGTCGTGGTTTCCCGAGGGGTGGACCCTTGGGGCGAGTCCCGGTAGCCTTGCATGGAAAGGCAGGATGTTGCAGTCCGTCTCTCCAGGAGAAGCACCTGGAGATGGGGAAGGGACGGCAAGGCTCACAGTAATTCTCGTTTTTGCTGGGTTGCAGTGGGTGCTGCAGGATCGTGTTCGGTGGTGTTTATCCTGGCATCATGGTTGCTGTCTTCTTTCTGTCAGGTTTTGAGGTGCATTTTTGTGCTGATAGTGTGACATCTCCAGCTTCTTCTGCTACTGCGCTGCTCTTGTCCCACTGCCAGCCACCATGGATAAGACCGAGTTGATCCAGAAAGCCAAGCTGGCTGAGCAAGCCGAGCGCTACGATGACATGGCCACCTGCATGAAGGCAGTAACGGAGCAAGGTGCCGAGCTGTCCAACGAGGAGCGCAACCTGCTCTCCGTGGCCTACAAGAACGTGGTGGGGGGGCGGCGCTCGGCCTGGCGGGTCATCTCCAGCATCGAGCAGAAGACAGACACCAGTGACAAGAAGATGCAGCTTATCAAGGACTATCGGGAGAAGGTGGAATCTGAGCTCAGGTCCATCTGCACCACGGTGCTGGTAAGTCAGGACTTTGTTTTTTCTTATATTTTGTTTAAGGTAAAAAAATTAAGTGTTTAAGTGTGCTGCTGTACTGGGGGAAGCATTGGGAACTTGCTTGGGGCATATCATGCAGTGTTGTGCTGGGGTAGGTGAGGTCAGTACCGTAACTCGTGCAACCCTTACATGGGTCACCGCAATGAGGATTATCAACTGCACTATGCTATTGACCCTATATGTGTAGAGGTATTTGAGATAGTTAATTTTGAGTGTCTATGAGGTATGTTTTTGGGTGGAGAGGTCCATATGCAGTATTTCACCAGGTAGTTGCAAAGATACAGCCTCTGTGCTGTGGTTAGTAAACATATTTGTAAGATAAACTGAAAATGTGGAAAGCCCTTTATTCAGATCAGCTAATAACTTGCTACAAACATTGAAACCAAGTATGCATTTTGTTTTCTTCCCGATGAAGAGAAATACTCTGAAGGGGTCTTCAAGAGACATTTTGATGAATGTTTTAACATAAATTTAACTTTACAAACTTAGACATCTATATTGAAGGGGAGAAAGCAACATGTAGAAATTGTCTTTGTTAGCAAGCTGACTTCTCAGGGTAGCTTTGAGATGGGTTTGCAGTAATTACGGAGCAATGTAAAGCTAAGGTGTAAAGACTGGAATGACACCCTAAGCATGCATCAAACCCAGAAGTACATTTCTGTGGAAGCAGCAGAATTCCAGGTGCTGTTGGTAGGAAAACTGTAGTGCACTGCAGTGGGAGCTCATGAGATATGTGTCTGCAGTGTGGAGGCTGCTGGACCCAGTTCTACATGACCAGGGAATGGTATCTGAAAAAAACTGCACGTGCATAATGCAATAGTAATTCTGTGGGCAGATCATCTTCAGTGGTTGATTTGCTCCTCTTAGTTACCTTTTTTTTGGTGTCTAGTATTGCTAATGTGGGACCAGGAGGAAGCAAGTCTATAAGGAAATAAACAATTTTGAGGTAAATTTATTCTAGATTTGTTTAGGAGACGTGAATTTAAAGGTGACTGGTTTGGAAGTAACTGATTTTTTTCTTGTTTAAGTGTTCTGGTTCACATACAAGGGAATGCTTCTTTGGATTGTGCTGAAAATACCTATATGCTTCCTTGTATGCTGCCATCTCGGTTTGTTCTTTCTTTCTAAATCTAAGTGAGTTGTCTTTCCTTGAAAATAGTTTTCATATTTATTAGCTTTACGAATCAGTTAATTCCTTAACACATTTAAGACCCCATGCCTTCCACAAGAGCAAAATTGTTTCTCCAGTTACAGGTGTATTGAAATTGTGAGACTTTCACCTTTGTGAAAGTAATACTTCTGTAGGATTCCTACTTCCTCTGACAAGAGTTTCACTGGACACCTGTGTTGAAGTGCCAGCATTTGTGTCACTCTTCTTTCTCTACTCAGTGCCCCACTTGAGAACTAACTTCTTGGGACCTCCATATAAAGCTCTCTCTTCAGATTTCTTAATCTCCCTTTGTCCTTTTACCAAATTGAGTGCCTTGGAGAAGGTGATGTATAAAATCTCATACTGGTTGTACCATTTTGACAAGGAACTTGTGTTTCCATAGGGAGAGGCAGTGAACCACTTCACACAGTCTCTCTACTGAAGTTATTCTGATGGTGGCCAGCAGGTATTCTGGTAGCCGTGCTAGCACAGACCTCTAGTGTAGAGAAAGCAAGCTCTTCCTGTGCTAGATGATTTTTTCAATGCACTCTAGTCTTTCTCTGTTCTCAGCAATGGCCTGTTGGCAACTCTCCCCTTCCGGCCTGGAAGGCTGCAGGAAGTAGTGAAGACCAAAACCTGGAGCTAAGCATGCTTTTCCTGTCCTGTCCTGACCTGCTGCAAAGATGTGCCTTCCTTTGGTAGGAGATGTTGCCCATCTACTGCAAGCCTTCCTTTTTCTATTCTTCCTTTGAGGGCCATGTGCAGTTCTGTTCTCTTCTGATTCCCTCCCTTTCCTCCTCCATCTGCCACTCCTATGATCCGTGAGTCAGTGTGAGAGAGGTTGGAATTCAGGAGAGCAGGCGTTACAAAGGATGGGTTTCCTAAAGCTGAGCCACACAATGGTTTTGGCTCCTCCTTTGAATGATAATTTCTGCTGTACTAGTACTATGGTAACAGCTTGTAGCTTTTTCAGATCTCTTCAGCTGAATCTCAGAGATGCTTTTTTAATTCTAGGAAGGCAGCTAAACTGTAACAACTGCTGGCAAGTAGTATGGAAAGGTTGCTTGTCATCTGGAGTATTTGGATTTAGCAAGGGTGGGTGTGTTGGGTGGAGTGTGACTGCTGTTAGTCATACTACTAGCAGTTTTTTCAAAAGTTTTTTTTTTAACTACTGATGTGGCATATTTCTAAATCTTCATGTAGAAATACTTGTGCTAGCATTAAAAATGCTGCTAATTTTTTTATTAAAATGTCAGGAACATGGAATCTGTAATTACTTTTTTTCCTGCAAAAAATGCCCCAAGTCAGTTAAGTAAGCATTGTTTCAGGTTGTGGTTTGATAAAGAACTTAATTTTAATCACCACTAGAATAAAAACATTCAAAATTACTTTGAGATATCTGTATATAGATATATACATAAAAATAAAGCTTTTACTGATTATTTAACTGTCATTCTTTAACTGCCTATCTTGCAAGTAGGCATGATCTGAATGCTTTTTAGCTGTTAATTTTATGACTGGTCTTTCAGATGAGAATAGCTCTTTAATGAGGAAATGATACGGCTGTCAAATAACTTACACAAATGTTGTATTAGAAAGGTACATTAGGAGGTTTTGCTGAACTCCCTGTATTGATTGACTAATTATTTGGTAATGTAGAGAGTTAATGTTGAATCATCCCTTATGACTCATAGCTAAAACTGTTCTTGAAACTCTTCTCCTTGAATAAAGAAACAGGTTGGCAACTTAATTTTTTTCAAGATATAGTTCACACTATGTTGATTCATATACTCTGAGCACAAAGTTCATGTTGCTTTCTCCTGACCTCAGTGATATCAAGACAGACACTAGATAATGTAGAAGGGGTGGATGCAGCAGCAACTTTCATATAATTAGT